CAGTGTGGGCCACACCGTGATGGCCACCGTCAGTGTGGGCCACACTGTGATGGCCACCGTCAGTGTGGGCCACACTGTGATGGCCACCGTCAGTGTGGGCCACACCCTGATGGCCACCGTCAGTGTGGGCCACACCCTGATGGCCACCATCAGTGTGGGCCACACCGTGATGGCCACCATCAGTGTGGGCTACACCGTGATGGCCACCATCAGTGTGGGCCACACCGTGATGGCCACCATCAGTGTGGGCCACACTGTGATGGCCACCATCAGTGTGGGCCACACCCTGATGGCCACCATCAGTGTGGGCCACACCGTAATGGCCACCATCAGTGTGGGCTACACCGTGATGGCCACCATCAGTGTGGGCCACACCGTGATGGCCACCATCAGTGTGGCCCACACTGATGGCTGAGGCAACATTACCAACCACCACAGTAACCCAAGCCATCAACATGGTGGTGTAGTCTGAGCACGAAGCCACCTCAGCTACAGGCACGCCTCACAAATTACCAAGGCCGCCAACCTTCCAGAATATTCTTCCGGTAATTTCTGTTTAATGTTGTTGTTGTTGTTTAAGATTCGCTACTTGGAAGGAAAAGTTCCAAGTAGCACAGGCTATGGTGAGCCCGTAAAAAAATGTAATTTCTGTTGATAGCTGGCCACAGGAGAGACTTTCATCCTGTACTGTCAATTTCAGTGTTTGTAAGCAGTACCAGTAGACTGTCAATTGTCTGACAGATCTCTCGCACTGTCCATGGAGGAGAGGCGACAATATATGCTGGTTAGCATCGTAAATGCCCGGCCACGTCTGTGGTAGGGGACAAAAATTCATACAATTCTCAAAGGTCTGCTAATCATGTCCCAGACATATTTCAATACATATTTCTCAGCTATGTATACCAATATTAATACATGCGCTTATACAAATGCATATATGTATACATAAGTTTTTTTCTCGACTGATAGGCGGGGGTCCGGGGTTCGATTCCCGAGATGATTTCGGGGCTTAGTGTCCCCGCGGCCCGGTCCTCGACCAGGCCTCCACCCCCAGGAAGCAGCCCGTGACAGCTGACTAACACCCAGGTACCTATTCTACTGCTAGGTAACAGGGGCATAGGGTGAAAGAAACTCTGCCCATTGTTTCTCGCCGGCGCCCGGGAACGAACCCGGGAGCACAGGATCACGCGTCCAGTGTTCTGTCCGCTCAGCCACCGGCTCCCCCTGGTAAGGGGGGGGGGCAGGTGTAGGGGGGGAGGGCACAATTCTGGGGCATGGTGGGGGGGGGGAGGTCAAAGGTCAACCAGTTTCCTGGTTTTCCCACTACGTAAAAAACATAATTATGTTTTACCTACCCACACACGAACCAACCCCAGCAACCCACCTAACCTATCGAGGCCAGGCATAGAAAACTTCAATATTCGATTGTTTTTGTTAATTCTACGTCGTATTTGGAACGCATTGGTGTATGGGGATATGTGTTGTTAGCAGACACGAGAGGTCTCGAGGGGGTAGGTGGGTTGATGGGGTTGGTGCGTTTGTGGGTAGGTAAACAGTTATGTTTATAACGGAGAGAGAGAGAGAGAGAGAGAGAGAGAGAGAGAGAGAGAGAGAGAGAGAGAGAGAGAGAGAGAGAGAGAGAGAGAGAGAGAGAGAGAGAGAGAGAGAGAGAGAGAGAGAGAGAGAGAGAGAGAGAGAGACAGAGAGACAGAGAGACAGAGAGAGAGAGAGACAGAGAGACAGACAGACAGACAGACAGACAGACAGACAGACAGACAGACAGACAGACACACACACACACACACACAGAGAGACACACACACACACAGAGAGACACACACACACACAGAGAGACACACACACACACAGAGAGAGACACACACACAGAGAGACACACACACAGAGAGACACACACACACAGAGAGACACACACACAGAGAGACACACACACAGAGAGACACACACACAGAGAGACACACACAGAGAGACAGAGAGAGAGACAGAGAGAGAGACAGGCGTGTCTACGAGGACAGAGGTGCCCATAGAGACTACCACCACCACCACACTACAAGCACCACCACCACCACCACACTACAAGCACCACCACCACCACCACCACCACACTACAAGCACCACCACCACCACCACACTAGAAGCACCAGTCTCCCGCTATAACTGTCAACAATGTCAATGTTTGTACCAGCATCTTTGTCTTAAGCACCGTGAACCACCAAGCAACTTCAGCCACTTGAAGTGTGAAGCGTGACAATGGTCTCAAGTCTCCCACTTGCCCTCTTAACCCCTCACTCTCACACTCCTCACAACTCAAGTCCCTCACTTCCTCCTCCTCATACACATTCTTCCCTGCTCTCCTGGGACCCAGATTCACCAACCAGTTACGCCAAGCACTTACGGACCAGGGGCCAGATTCACCAAGCAGTTACGCAAGCACTTACGGACCCGGGGCCAGATTCACCAAGCACTTACGGACCCGGGGCCAGATTCACAACACTTGCGCTTCCTTGTCCACCACTGCTTCAACTGCATGTATTATTACCCCCATCCCCATTGTAGTGTCATAGTCCAGTTCACTGGTATTGCTGTTCACTGTCGTATATAAACCAGTATGTGTCTATGAACATTAAAGGTCGCCAGCAATTTAGGTCTTTAGGACAATCCATAGTTGCTCGAATGTGTTCCCCACTCTGACTTGACCCCATTCATGCTCTCTTCCCTGTTGAGTAAGCACCCCCTAGTTCACTTTACTAGTTGACGTTAAACCAGTTCAACTAGTTGCATGATAGGCCTAGCTACCACTCATGTACTTCACTATCAAAATTGGTGCTGTTTTCACAACCGTAAATAATTATGGATTTATGCCCAACCGTAATATTCGTAACCAAATTGATACCTGAGTTAGATAAGTGTTGCATTCCCACTGTGACCGAGAGTGAGAGTCCACATCACTGCCCCGCACTCACACACACGTCAAGCTGACATGATAGATGTACTGCAGAAAGGCGATAGACGAATGTTCTTCTTGTTTAAGATTCGCTACCTGGAACAAAAAGTTTCAAGTAGCACGGGCTATGGTGAGCCCGCACTCTCTCTCTGATAGACGGATGGGTAGACTGCGTCTCCCTACACGGATTAATCACCTTTGGTACCTTTCTCAGTGTGAAGATAACGTCTAATGAGCAATTTGTAGCAATATACATTACCAGACTGGTCACAATAGGACATTACGGAGCATTATCCGGGGCCTGTTGGTCCAAGGTCCCGTTGGTCCAAGGTCCCGTTGGGCCAAGGTCCCGTTGGGCCAAGGTCCCGTTGGTCCAAGGTCCCGTTGGTCCAAGGTCCCGTTGGTCCAAGATCCCGTTGGTCCAAGATCCTGTTGGTCCAAGGTCCCGTTGGTCCAAGGTCCCGTTGGTCCAAGATCCCGTTGGTCCAAGGTCCCGTTGGTCCAAGGTCCCGTTGGTCCAAGATCCTGTTGGTCCAAGGTCCCGTTGGTCCAAGGTCCCGTTGGTCCAAGGTCCTGAGAGCCCAATAGGCTCAGGAACCTGTACACCTGTTGGTTGACAGTTGAGAGGCGGGACCAAAGAGCCGGAGCTCAACCCCCGCAAGCACAACTAGGTGAGTACAAGGGCGGGAAGGGTTCATAAGAGATGCAACTTAAAAATAATATATATATATAATAGTTGTTCAGTGTTGGTTCAGTTGGTGGTGGTGGTGCTCGTGTTACTTGTAAAGGAACCGTGTGTGATGATGTTACTGTAAGGTGACCAGTGTGTCTTGTTGTGGAGTTACAAGTAGCAGTAGGGCCACGGTGAGGAGCAGGTGGTGTTGCTTGTTCCACCAGGCTGTTGCTGGCAGCGGCCCGCAGACCCACATACCCACCACAGCCTGGTTGGTCCACCAGGCTGTTGCTGGGAGCGGCCCGCAGACCCACATACCCACCACAGCCTGGTTGGTCCACCAGGCTGTTGCTGGGAGCGGCCCGCAGGCCCACATACCCACCACAGCCTGGTTGGTCCACCAGGCTGTTGCTGGGAGCGGCCCGCAGACCCACATACCCACCACAGCCTGGTTGGTCCACCAGGCTGTTGCTGGGAGCGGCCCGCAGGCCCACATACCCACCACAGCCTGGTTGGTCCGGCACTTCTTGCAAGAACTTATCTAAGTGTATCTTGAATATGAAGCATATTTCATATCGTTATTGACTGAGACCCTTGTCTCACGTACGTGAGAGTACCTGTGTGTGTGGGTGTGTGTTATATTTTTATATAAAGTAAATAGTAAAATAAAATATAATTATATTTTTATATATAAAGTAAATAATAGACATGCGCGGGTAAACGGCGGGAGTACCGCTATCTCACTACGGACAACGTATCCCAGATCATTTCTCAAATATAGTCGGGTTTACTGACTATATTTCTTGAAGCATTTAACTTAACCCTACCCTGAACTAGCCTATATCCGTCCCATATCCCAGACCATTCACCCTACACATTTTGGTGACGCTAGCCCGAGGCATCTGACCTCCAATCTTAGCCAGACTGAGGATGATTGGATAGTCGAGGATGATTGGATAGTCAATAGGGAGAGTTGGTGCCCTTGGATAGTGAATCAGGTCCCAGGTTACCTATTTACTGCTAGGAAACAGGGGCATAGGGTGAAAGACACTCTGCCCAATGTTTCTCGCCGGCGGCCGAGATGGAACCCGAGAGCAGAGGATCACGTGTCCAGCGTGCTGTCCGCTCAACCACCGGCTGTGTGAGTTAGTCACTAGGTGGAGGCGCCATTGTTCACCTTGTTCATGAGTCATTGTTCATGCGCCTCATTTTCTTCCTCTCATGAAACTCATTATAATCTGGCAATTTTCCTGGTGGGGTCTTTTCTGTTTTATTCAAATGTCTTTGTCTCTTTCTCTAGCTTTCCTTGGCTCACTCTCCGTATTGTACCTGTTCCCACCTTCAGTACACACCCTCGTCATGTGCTCAGTTTGCCCAATAGGTTCTACGGTAGGTGATCTGCAGAGCTGTGTTTTGTAAGTCATTATGATTGGTGTGTTTCCAGTGGGTGGCCATAATGTGGCCCTTGTGAGAGTGGGTGGCCATAATGTGGCCCTTGTGACAGTGGGTGGCCATAATGTGGCCCTTGTGAGAGTGAGTGGCCATAATGTGGACCATGTGAGAGTGGGTGGCCATAATGTGGACCATGTGAGAGTGGGTGGCCATAATGTGGACCATGTGACAGTGGGTGGCCATAATGTGGACCATGTGACAGTGGGTGGCCATAATGTGGCCCTTGTGAGAGTGGGTGGCCATAATGTGGACCATGTGACAGTGGGTGGCCATAATGTGGACCTTGTGAGAGTGGGTGGCCATAATGTGGACCATGTGACAGTGGGTGGCCATAATGTGGACCATGTGACAGTGGGTGGCCATAATGTGGACCATGTGACAGTGGGTGGCCATAATGTGGACCTTGTGAGAGTGGGTGGCCATAATGTGGCCCTTGTGACAGTGGGTGGCCATAATGTGGCCCTTGTGAGAGTGGGTGGCCATAATGTGGACCATGTGACAGTGGGTGGCCATAATGTGGACCATGTGACAGTGGGTGGCCATAATGTGGACCATGTGACAGTGGGTGGCCATAATGTGGACCTTGTGAGAGTGGGTGGCCATAATGTGGCCCTTGTGACAGTGGGTGGCCATAATGTGGCCCTTGTGAGAGTGGGTGGCCATAATGTGGACCATGTGACAGTGGGTGGCCATAATGTGGCCCTTGTGAGAGTGGGTGGCCATAATGTGGACCATGTGACAGTGGGTGGCCATAATGTGGCCCTTGTGACAGTGGGTGGCCATAATGTGGCCCTTGTGAGAGTGGGTGGCCATAATGTGGACCTTGTGAGAGTGGGTGGCCATAATGTGAACCTTGTGACAGTGGGTGGCCATAATGTGAACCTTGTGACAGTGGGTGGCCATAATGTGAACCTTGTGACAGTGGGTGGCCATAATGTGGACCTTGTGACAGTGGGTGGCCATAATGTGGACCTTGTGACAGTGGGTGGCCATAATGTGGACCTTGTGACAGTGGGTGGCCATAATGTGGACCTTGTGACAGTGGGTGGCCATAATGTGGACCATGTGACAGTGGGTGGCCATAATGTGGCCCTTGTGACAGTGGGTGGCCATAATGTGGACCATGTGACAGTGGGTGGCCATAATGTGGACCTTGTGACAGTGGGTGGCCATAATGTGGACCTTGTGACAGTGGGTGGCCATAAAGTGGCCCTTGTGACAGTGGGTGGCCATAATGTGGACCATGTGACAGTGGGTGGCCATAATGTGGACCTTGTGACAGTGGGTGGCCATAAAGTGGCCCTTGTGACAGTGGGTGGCCATAATGTGGACCTTGTGACAGTGGGTGGCCATAATGTGGACCTTGTGAGAGACGACGGTGCCGTGTTGAGCAGGTAAAGGTTAACTCAGTAGTCCTTACTCACTCCCACTCTCAGTCTCCCTGGCTAAACTGACGGCAACACCTGTACCAACCATGGATATATATATATATCTGTGTGTGTGTTTGTGTGTCTCTCTGTCTGTCTCTCTCTCCCCTCCCCTCCCCTCCCCCCCCCCTCCCTCCCTCTCTCCCTCTTACCAGTGTAGGTGACATTTGTGGTGAATGTAATAATTTCGATTAAATATAATCATGTTAAATGTTCACCTCTATGTATGACTAGTGTACCCCCCCCCCCCTTGTCTCCTCCCGTGTCTGGCATCAAGGCATTTGAGATTAAGCATTTGCGAAACCTGTACATCTTTCCTCAATCATGGCGGCTCAGTTTGTATATTTTAAACAGTTCATGAGCTCCCTAAAGCTACGAGGTTGTCTTAACGATAATCTTCGGTCGTGAAGGACCTCGCAGCGTTTACGAGGTCGTAAATGGGTTAATCAGTACAAAATAAGTCTTCACGATGGAGGAAAGATGTACCGGTTTCGTTAGGGTAGAGGTGTATGGTGTCGGGCTGATGATTGAGCTCGCTCTCTGGAGCTGGCTCGTATCCCAGCTCCTTGTCCTCATACCCCATATAGAGAGGTAAGAATTAGAGGAATGAATGAATATTAGAGTTAAGATGAGTGTTATACAATGTTTTAGATGAGGTAGATTGTGTGGTAAACAGTGGTACAGGTGTTAGTGTGAGGTGAGGCACCACCACTCACTCTCCTCACGCCTCACACTGTGTGAGGTGAGGCACCACCACTCACTCTCCTCACGCCTCACACTGTGTGAGGTGAGGCACCACCACTCACTCTCCTCACGCCTCACACTGTGTGAGGTGAGGCACCACCACTCACTCTCCTCACGCCTCACACTGTGTGAGGTGAGGCACCACCACTCACTCTCCTCACGCCTCACACTGTGTGAGGTGAGGCACCACCACTCACTCTCCTCACGCCTCACACTGTGTGAGGTGAGGCACCACCACTCACTCTCCTCACGCCTCACACTGTGTGAGGTGAGGCACCACCACTCACTGTCCTCACGCCTCACACTGTGTGAGGTGAGGCACCACCACTCACTGTCCTCACGCCTCACACTGTGTGAGGTGAGGCACCACCACTCTCCTCACGCCTCACACTGTGTGAGGTGAGGCACCACCACTCACTCTCCTCACGCCTCACACTGGGTGAGGGGAGGCTCCACCACTCACTCTCCTCACGCCTCACACTGTGTGAGGTGAGGCACCACCACTCACTCTCCTCACGCCTCACACTGTGTGAGGTGAGGCACCACCACTCACTCTCCTCACGCCTCACACTGTGTGAGGTGAGGCACCACCACTCACTCTCCTCACGCCTCACACTGTGTGAGGTGAGGCACCACCACTCACTCTCCTCACGCCTCACACTGTGTGAGGTGAGGCACCACCACTCACTCTCCTCACGCCTCACACTGTGTGAGGTGAGGCACCACCACTCACTCTCCTCACGCCTCACACTGTGTGAGGTGAGGCACCACCACTCACTCTCCTCACGCCTCACACTGTGTGAGGTGAGGCACCACCACTCACTCTCCTCACGCCTCACACTGTGTGAGGTGAGGCACCACCACTCACTCTCCTCACGCCTCACACTGTGTGAGGTGAGGCACCACCACTCACTCTCCTCACGCCTCACACTGTGTGAGGTGAGGCACCACCACTCACTCTCCTCACGCCTCACACTGTGTGAGGTGAGGCACCACCACTCACTCTCCTCACGCCTCACACTGTGTGAGGTGAGGCACCACCACTCACTCTCCTCACGCCTCACACTGTGTGAGGTAAGGCACCACCACTCACTCTCCTCACGCCTCACACTGTGTGAGGTGAGGCACCACCACTCACTGTCCTCACACCTCACACTGTGTGAGGTAGAGAAGCTGTGCTATGCAAATGTGAGTGTGGAAGCGTGGTGGCCGCTCATAGCTGACTGATGGCTGTTGATCACGCTGGCCTAGCCTGGCCCGGCCTGGCCCTCTCATTGGTCAGTGGCAGCTGCCTCCTATCTTGCAGGTGTGTGAGGCATGGAAAAAGAGGACTACAGGTGTGTGAGGGAGAGGTTGAGAGGCAGGAACAAAGGTGTGACCCATGCATCCCTCAGTCTACCATATATGGCCCTGGGGACTATCCACCCCTCCCCCCCCACATCCTCCATCCCCCCTTCTCTACTGTTTTTTGTACTTATTAGGAAATAAGTGGCCATACAAGATGTGTGGCCACACTGAGAGTAGGGTGTGGCCACACTGAGAGTAGGGTGTGGCCACACTGAGAGTAGGGTGTGGCCACACTGAGAGTAGGGTGTGGCCACACTGAGAGTAGGGTGTGGCCACACTGAGAGTAGGGTGTGCCCATACTGAGAGTAGGGTGTGGCCACACTGAGAGTAGGGTGTGGCCACACTGAGAGTAGGGTGTGGCCACACTGAGAGTAGGGTGTGGCCACACAGAGTAGGGTGTGGCCACACTGAGAGAAGGGTGTGGCCACACTGAGAGAAGGGTGTGGCCACACTGAGAGAAGGGTGTGGCCACACTGAGAGAAGGGTGTGGCCACACTGAGAGAAGGGTGTGGCCACACTGAGAGAAGGGTGTGGCCACACTGAGAGTAGGGTGTGGCCACACTGAGAGTAGGGTGTGGCCACACTGAGAGTAGGGTGTGGCCACACAGAGTAGGGTGTGGCCACACTGAGAGTAGGGTGTGGCCACACTGAGAGAAGGGTGTGGCCACACTGAGAGAAGGGTGTGGCCACACTGAGAGAAGGGTGTGGCCACACTGAGAGAAGGGTGTGGCCACACTGAGAGGGGTGTGTGGCCACACTGAGAGTGGGGTGTGGCCACACTGAGAGTAGGGTGCGGCCACACTGAGAGAAGGGTGTGGCCACACTGAGAGTAGGGTGTGGCCACACTGAGAGTAGGGTGTGGCCACACTGAGAGTAGGGTGTGGCCACACTGAGAGTAGGGTGTGGCCACACTGAGAGTAGGGTGTGGCCACACTGAGAGTAGGGTGTGGCCACACACTGAGAGTAGGGTGTGGCCACACTGAGAGTAGGGTGTGGCCACACTGAGGAGGGTGTGGCCACACTGAGGAGGGTGTGGCCACACTGAGGAGGGTGTGGCCACATACAGTAGGGTGAGGCCACACAGAGGAGGGTGTGGCCACACACAGGATGGTGTGGCCACACACACAGAGGAGGGTGTGGCCACACACACAGAGGAGGGTGAGGCCACACACAGAGGAGGGTGAGGCCACACACAGAGGAGGGTGAGGCCACACACAGAGGAGGGTGTGGCCACACAGAGAGGAGGGTGTGGCCACACAGAGAGGAGGGTGTGGCCACACAGAGAGGAGGGTGTGGCCACACAGAGAGGAGGGTGTGGCCACACAGAGAGGAGGGTGTGGCCACACACACAGAGGGTGTGGCCACACACAGAGGAGGGTGTGGCCACACACACAGAGGAGGGTGTGGCCACACAGAGAGGAGGGTGTGGGCCACACAGAGAGGAGGGTGTGGGCCACACAGAGAGGAGGGTGTGGCCACACAGAGAGGAGGGTGTGGCCACACAGAGAGGAGGGTGTGGCCACACAGAGAGGAGGGTGTGGCCACACAGAGAGGAGGGTGTGGCCACACACAGTAGGGTGAGGCCACACAGAGGAGGGTGTGGCCACACACAGGATGGTGTGGCCACACACACAGAGGAGGGTGTGGCCACACACACAGAGGAGGGTGTGGCCACACAGAGAGGAGGGTGTGGCCACACACACAGAGGAGGGTGTGGGCCACACACAGAGGAGGGTGTGGGCCACACAGAGAGGAGGGTGTGGCCACACACACAGAGGAGGGTGTGGGCCACACAGAGAGGAGGGTGTGGGCCACACAGAGAGGAGGGTGTGGGCCACACAGAGAGGAGGGTGTGGGCCACACAGAGAGGAGGGTGTGGGCCACACAGAGAGGAGGGTGTGGCCACACAGAGGAGGGTGTGGCCACACAGAGGAGGGTGTGGCCACACAGAGGAGGGTGTGGCCACACACAGAGGAGGGTGTGGGCCACACAGAGAGGAGGGTGTGGGCCACACAGAGAGTAGGGTGTGGGCCACACAGAGAGGAGTGTGTGGGCCACACAGAGAGGAGGGTGTGGGCCACACAGAGAGGAGGGTGTGGGCCACACAGAGAGGAGGGTGTGGCCACACAGAGAGGAGGGTGTGGCCACACAGAGAGGAAGGTGTGGCCACACAGAGAGGAGGGTGTGGCCACACAGAGAGGAGGGTGTGGCCACACAGAGAGGAGGGTGTGGGCCACACAGAGAGGAGGGTGTGGGCCACACAGAGAGGAGGGTGTGGGCCACACAGAGAGGAGGGTGTGGGCCACACAGAGAGGAGGGTGTGGGCCACACAGAGAGGAGGGTGTGGGCCACACAGAGAGGAGGGTGTGGGCCACACAGAGAGGAGGGTGTGGGCCACACAGAGAGGAGGGTGTGGCCACACAGAGAGGAGGGTGTGGCCACACACAGGATGGTGTGGCCACACACACAGAGGAGGGTGTGGGCCACACAGAGAGGAGGGTGTGGGCCACACAGAGAGGAGGGTGTGGGCCACACAGAGAGGAGGGTGTGGGCCACACAGAGAGGAGGGTGTGGGCCACACAGAGAGGAGGGTGTGGGCCACACAGAGAGGAGGGTGTGGCCACACAGAGGAGGGTGTGGCCACACAGAGGAGGGTGTGGCCACACAGAGGAGGGTGTGGCCACACAGAGAGGAGGGTGTGGGCCACACAGAGAGGAGGGTGTGGGCCACACAGAGAGGAGGGTGTGGGCCACACAGAGAGGAGGGTGTGGGCCACACAGAGAGGAGGGTGTGGGCCACACAGAGAGGAGGGTGTGGGCCACACAGAGAGGAGGG